CTAGTTTTTGCATGCTATTAGTCTATGTTATTTGGTGCATTATTTAATTAAATAAAAGTATTTAGTGCATTACTACCATTAGTATTAAAAAAGTAGGGTTAAGTGTCATCAACAATCGATACCAAGAAAAAAGAGGAGTGACTAAGTACTTTATTTCTTGTTTATTCTTTATTTATTATTATAAAAGTAACTAAAATGCAAAAATAGGGATATTTTTAGGTTAGTTACGATAAGACTAGTTAAAATAAATAATTATAATGCCTTGATTAAATAAATCACTTGGCTTTGAAGCAAAAAAATGTCAATGTCTTCTTTAATACCTTCCACATTTGCTTATGTTTTCCCATTAAGATGGTGTTGCACCGAATGAAAAAGATGGTAATCTGATGATGCCATATTTGAAGAATATGGTGGGTGGGGGAGAACTTCCCAACTTAAATCCATAATCTGGTGTTTCGTCAAACATGCCACATGTGGATGTGCATGGTTGTGGAGAAGAACACCTTTCCGATTGACGAGTGAAGGGAATTTCTGATGAAGGGCTTGATTTAAATGTTGCAGTTGCTGACTATAGATCTCTGCATTTACAGTTTGCTGTGGATTGAGGAGTTCAAAATGAATTACTCTTTTGATATCCCACCAAATGCAAAGCATCACTTTCTGCGGATGGAGTCCAAATTTTGGGGTTGGAAGTGGTTTTGTCTACGACTGAGCCATTGTTTTTGGCATTTAACATTCACATAGAGAATTCATTTTTCATCACTGATGACAATTTCGCTAGAAGAGATGAAGCAATGTTCATGGTCGAAACAATAATCATCAGAGAGTTTTTGAGGCACCCAAACACCTTCTTTATGGAGTTCTCACATATTCCTTAGATGTTTATGTATTGTTTCATGAAGGACATGCAATTTCAGGGCCATTTCCTGAGTGTGTTGCCTTGGGTTAGACTCAACAAGCATCTTCAGAGCATCAATATCAATTTCAACATGTCACCCCTGCCATCATAGTTTATAAGGCTAAAGTCACCTGAACGAAATTTTCTGAACCATTGTTGACATTTACGAATGTTCAGAACATTTCCATAAACGTTTTTTGATATTCTTTGTGGCTACAGAGACATTGTTTCCCATCTTGTATTCAAACAGCATTACATGCTGAATGTGTGTCTCTTTGTGTGCCATCACTATACTAAACTTTACACATTATATAGGCTACACTAATGTGACATTTAGGTGGTTCATTTAACTATTATACATGATGTACGTTTTTTTAGGGGAGTGATTAATGAAAGTGTTCCAAAACGCGACATTAATTTCTTGATGACCTAATAATTTGATAGTGTAATGTGAACTGCACATTCCCTGAGAGATTTACAACTTATAACTCAATGGTCAATCAAAAGGGCAATAAAACACTAAAATTTAATTATAAATAGATGTATGCTGTTACCAGTTTAAAGCTACTTAGGATAATCAAATGTAGTTTCATGTTACAATTTGAAGTCATTTTAGAAAGAAAAAAAGGGTAATTTAGTTTTATTTCGTTTTTTTGGGGGCGGGTTACGAGGTCAGTCAAATTGACCAACCTTGTGTAGAAGTAGGGTAAAGAAAATAACAAAATATAAAGTGTTACTGAAAACAAACATTTGAAATATATTTAAGAGGTTTTAGGGATTACACAAAGGACATTTGAGATTTTTGATATGAGGAAAAGTATTTTTAATCTTAACATAAAAATCACTTTACACACGGACTATTAAAAACAAATACTTGATATATTCATGGACAAATCTTTATTTTAGTTTATTAAAATATTTTTCCTAAGATATGATTTTTTGTTTGTGAAAGACTTGTATTGTTAACTGAAAGACTGCCAAATTTTGTGAAGATATACACACTATGTTGAAAGTTAGAAGTATTAAATTTATAGAGACTTTAAATGAGTACCAAGAGGTCACATGGTCGGTCAAATTTACTGAGCCCATTTTGAGAGAGTTAATAGAGAGAGAGAAAACACTAAATATGCCAGTCCAAAACTAGAAAGCTAAGTGAGGGGGATTTCAAGAATATAAATAAAATGAAGCCAATAGAACTTTTTCACAAATTTAATCTCAAAAATTTGGAAAGTGGTATCACTGCAGATTTCGAGTTTCATTGATTCTTATACCACTTAGATGTGGACAGTGTGATCTAATAATTAGAATACTGAACTGTGGACCTGAAATTTCATTGTACACACCTTGTACCATAAAAGAAAAATAAAACTCATTTTATATTTTGCTGTCATGGTTGCATTATAAAAGTGATTATCAAATTCAATTATTCCACAGAATAACCCACAAGTTGCCATTGGGGTGTTGACTAGCTGCTTTACATATAATTTATCAACTCAAAATTAGGGATGGCTAATACATATAGCTCTCAGTTAGCTTTGCATGAGATTCAACAAACAAACAAAACCAGTGAGATGTCTAGTATAAATTATTTTTCCCTTGTTAGTTGTAAAACATCTTTCATGCACACAACCATTCCTGCGATTACTCATACAAATGCTTAAGTTTATAATTCCATCTTGGAGAATTCCAACTTATTAGTTCTTTAGTTTCTCTAATTGGCCATGAGTTTTGTTTGTACTGTTAAAAATATTTAATAGAAAGAAATGTGGAACCACACAAAGTTATTTTTTATCATTTTAATAATTTCGAAGGAAAACATCTTGTTAGACTGAAGTAATCGTTTGGAGTTTATCAAAGAACAGGCTCTTAAAATGGAACTTTTAAACCTGAAATTTGATATCATTTTGTTGATGACACATTTGTAGCGTGGTCACATTCAATAAACTAACTAGAAGTGTTCCTTGGGCATCTCGACAACCAAGTCAGTGTATTCAGTTGAATAGAGAAAAATGTAACCACTAAATTCCTTTGATATATTATTGGTCCATATAACTAATGAAGTTTTTTAATTTTGGGTCTTTTGTTTAACCTCTGCAATTATTAGCAAAAAGTTGTCACAAATAAAAAAGAACATGATCTCAACTAATTAATTCCATATGTAGTATATAACTTAAATTTTAGTATGGTAAGATTTGTTGAAACAGGACAGTGAAAAAATATCATTATTTAGAAGAAAGTTATTGGAAGTTTGGAAATTCAGTTCTAGCCTACTATTATGAAACTTGTATTTGATATTAAGCTATGTCCAACAATGTATGTATAAAAAATAGAATTTATGAAATTATTTTTTTAAAATTTGTATTAGTTTTGTAATATATCCATACCTCCCTTTTTTTTAGATAAAGTTTTTGGGAATGTTTAACAGAAAGTATACTTTTCTGTCACGTCTCATTTGTATACTTGAATTTCCATATATTTCAGTAGGTATGCCAGTGTCACAAAAGTGGCAATGCATAAACATTTACTTTGTTGGAGTTTATACATGTATTACTTTTATGGTTAATTTTTCAGACTGGGAAACACAAAGTTCTGATATACCTGAACATAGAGAGAGATTCTTTTGGCTTATAAGTGGTTGCTGTAAGGTGAGTATACCATTGTACACTTTCTAATTTTGAAATATAACACTGTGATGTTGGTAAGTAGAACAAGTTGTTGGCTAAGAATAATAATGCATTATAGTTTATACAACATAAAATGAAACTTTGTTAGTTCAGATATGTAACTCAATTTTAAAACAAATTCACTTAGAATAAAAAATGGTGCAAGATGAATGTCATTGATATTACCCACATATAAAGACTTAGCACAAAGTAATAGTTCACATAATATTGAATTTTGTATATGTAAAGGGTAATTATAAAGAAAATTCCACAGCTCTGTCTCAAAAAAAAGGTATGGCATAGCAAATTGTGTTGGAGTGTTAAGGGTATCATGTGGCTGCATGTGCCACAGTAGTCACTTTTTGCTGCAAGGGGTGCCTCTGTGGTTTTTTTCACATATTTCCCATGGCCTGTACATTCCAGTGCAACTTATCCAATCAACATGAAACTGACAAGTGTGCAGAGGGGTGAATTATTGAAATGTTAATACACCAAAAGATGCAGATACCAAGGCAACTCTCAGGGAATACTGTATAGTGCACGATACATGGCCTTGATCCAGTGTTGCTGTGCCCATGTTCATATAACAGTTTCAGGAGATGGGTTGCATTTTTGATAAACGTATACAGGCAGACCACTAACGTCTGCTGTAACTATGATTGTGGTCAATCATGCTGTAGCAAAACAAGCCATCCCATGTGCACATTGTGTCACACAGTGTCTATATTTGTCACTTTCAACTGTTCATAAGGCTCTTTTTGGCAACTTTATATGTTGAAGCAGTGAAAGAAATGGATTTAACCTGGTGTGTTGATTTTAAATTGCAGTTTTTAGGAAGACCAGAAGTTGATGACTAGTAGCCCACCAATATCTTATGGAGTGATGAAGTGTTCTTTACATTTTCTGGCCAGAAACTAATCCACGTGTAACATTTGCTACACACTTCTATTATGTAAGGTGATAATGTGGTGCAATTTCACAACTGACTGATATTAGAAGAACCATCAGCACATGGACTACAAATCTGCACACATTAGACTATCCAATGCACACAACCTGTGTGATTCCCATGCTGCAGCAATGAAATGTGATAGACAGAATGGTTTTCATGCAGAAATGTGCCCCTCCACATTTTGGGAACCAAGTGAAACATCTTTCAAGACTTAATCAGCTCATTCACCAAACCTAACAACAGCTGATTTCTGGTTGTGGAGGTACCTCAAGTCACATGTGTACTGTGGAAAAAACCCTGTACAATTTCAGACCTCAGGATGCCATTGTCTCGGAAATGGCCAGCATACTAGATTAGATGCATGTTGTTGTTGTAATGTCCATTGTTACATAGATGCATTGCATTCCGAACAGTAGAGGGGCACATTTCAAACAGTTGCTGTGATTGATCAAACATTGTGTCATAGTGGCACCCCAGGGTGGCAAAATGTGACAATTGTGTCATTTCAAACCTCATGATAGGCATAACACTCCAGTACAATTTCACCTTCCTATGCAGTACAGATTTTAAGTTATGATGTGCTGAACTTTAAATACATTTTTTTAATAATCACTCTGTATTTAACCCCATTCAGCTGAGAGGCATGATAGTGGCTTCTAACTACTTGCTTCTGTTATTGCAGATGCCTTAGGGCTAATATCTCATGGTATCGAGAACATGTGAAATAAAACTGCTCATCCAATTGACTGAAAAGATGAAAAGACATGAAAAGGTCCTTAAAACCTATGTGGTTGAAGAGCAACTTTTCAAATGATATCTGCCATAGAATGGGCCAGTTGTATTGACGTATTTGAGATTGTGTCATAAATGTCTGGCATATCTACTAAATGGATCAAATTTAACAATCCTACTAAAATTTTAGAAAAGTTTGTTTGTCCTGTAACATTTCTAAGGTTTTTGTATTTGGACCTGTCAAATATGGTTTAATCAACTTGGAATGATTCAGGATGTGTCAAGAAGTTATTATTCTTATAAAATGCATAGATTTCATTGCTCCAGTGCTGGCTAAATATAGATCAGTCAGTGGAGTTGCACAGTAGAGGTACTGAGAGATTTCTCCAGTTCCGTCTTTCATTGCATGTGGTGTACATACATTCTATGTACTTTCATCATGCATATTTAGGACAAACACAATAATTATATTCATAATGAATTATATCCATTTTGTTTTAAAATTCCATCAATCATTTGAGGGATTTCTTTTTCACACATTGTTTATACATACTTTCAAGATAGACACACTTATATTAAGTGAGGTGTTTTGAAGTCACATGTTACTTATTGCTTTTTTGATAAAAAAAACTAAAATGACAAATAAAATGTTGGTTAAATAATCAAGCCCAGTGGACATGAATAATTCTATTCTTATATACTTTTTAATCTTTACTACCACTGGCATATTTTTGGAAAAAGAAATCTCATAAAGGTACATCTGTTAGTGCTTTTAATAAGAAAGGTAATGATATACACATATAGATAAATTTATGGGTTAGGAAATAACAGACAAATAAAATAATGTAAATTAGGTTTTTCTAGGTTCAAAAATTTAGGAGATGGAACACTAAATGCATACTTACTTTCAATATGTTTTATAGCTATTATAGCAAGACACAAGAAAATAGCATAAGAACACAACAGAAGACAAATGGTGAATGATAAACCTCTTGTACCAAATCTGTTTGTATCAACTACTACTCATTCATTTATATTTGGATAGATTTTATTTGCTTGGTCTTAGTTTGATGTTTCTCAGAATATTCTGTCATAGTCCTCCTTTCATGTTGAAGTCATGTTTCTTATATATTTCACAAATGTCCTTTACAATTGCTGACAGGCTTTTTGAGATGTTTCATCACCTAATGACAATGAGGACTAAAATGAAATTCCAATCTGTTCTCTTTACAAAAAGGGTTATAAGATATCTGTGATTTATCCAAGTTCCATTCACAAATTTTGTAATTAATGTTTTTGGGTTTTTGTGCAGTTGTTACTTAATGTATTAATAATCTGTCAGCTTTTCATATTGATTAGTCTACAGCATCTAGAACATTTGTCAGGAGAGGTTTAGGAGTATGCTGAGAAATGTAATCCTTTAATGGGCTCCTTAGACGTGCATTGAGCTATTTTGATTTTTTGCATGAAGCGCTTTCATGTGTCACATTTGCAAGAGTTTCTTTGTATAATTCCTGTTGCACTCTTTTCCATTTAGTGTATGAGAAGATAAGTTAGAATTCTCATGCTTTCACCAAATTCTTATGAAATTTTGTATAATGACTAAATTAATCATTTGGTGACTTGGTTCGTATATATTAATTTTGTTTATAGTTCTTCTTTAGGTGCATCATTCCAAGGTAATTTTTCATACACGAGAATTCCTGTATGCACGTATCTTAGAATGACTTTCCATTCTTCAATAATATGAAATCTATCCAATCTGATAACTTCACCTGTTTCAGTCGATGATCCTTGCTATTTTGTCTAGAACTGATGTTCTTCACTATGTCTTTGTTTTCACCCTTAGAAACTGTATCTTCTAATAATTACTGCAAATCCTGAGACCATCCCACAGTTAACTATTATGGTTACAACAGAGAGATAATGTTTGTGATAATCTGTGTGAAATAAAAAAGAACAACGTTTTTCTGTCTGCCCCCCCCCCCCCAATATTGATCAGAAAAAAAACAAATGAATGAAACTTCTAACCTGCATATCAGCATTCATTTAATTACGTGGTTTTATTGCTCGCCTTCGAAATTACTACTGTTGGACTGTTGCTCATAAAAAGCAATAAACCACAACATGAGCCCATTATCTGTTTCCCATAGAGCTAATATGAACAGCATGGACATGTCACAAATGTTTGTTTTCATAGAAGTTTAGATTTTTCATTTTAATGAAACTTTGTTAGGCTAAACTGAAAATTTTTCTAATTTTTACATTTGAGTTACATTGTTAAGAATATATAACAATAAGTAAAATCTATATATAATAAAGTAACATTGAGCTCATTTTCACTCAAATAAAAATTAAAGATGTTTTTCCACAAGCCTTGTTGAGTCTCACTAATTCAGAGAGAACGGGGCTTTGCTATTGGGTTGGACAAATGTATTGAAATTTCAGCAAACCAAGAAGTAGGATGCTCAAGTTTTAGATTCTTGTTTGTAATTATGTATAGTTTGTGTTTCTAATTAATTGAAAACTGTAGAAGCCTGTTATGGAAGTTAGAAAATTTTGAAGTTGATAGTTTGGAATTCAGACATTTCACGTGACATAGAAAAATGGAGATGGAGAATTTTTTAAAATATTTTTCCTAATATAGTTTGAATTTCAGTAATATAAAAAATTCAGTTATAAACTAGGTTTTCATGTCAAGTTTATTGACATACATTGATAATAATGTTTTTTAAATTAAATTCTGATGTAAATTCTGTAAAAGGTTGTGATGTGCAAAAGAACCAGGCTTGGATGCAATGTTTAGATATTCTATACTAGTTACAAAATGATGGAACTAGTGTTTCTTTCAACTATGTCAAATTTAATGATTTACATCTACAATCAGATCAAATCATGTGAGTGTAATAAATAGTTTTCAAAATAATAAAAAATGCCTTTTTTAATAATTTCAGAATTGATATCTGTAATTATAATTTTACTGTTTATATTTATTGATTTCATTGAGATTAAAGGCAATGAGTATTCATTAAGGTAGGTTTTTACTTACTACAAAGATGGCAATTTGATTAGATGTTTCTATTTATTTTTTTAGCTAGTTTTAATTCAGAATTATTGTGTTCAAACTTGGTGTTTAATAAACAATGGATTTTTGCATTAATTTAGTTTCTTGTCTTTGAGAACTTGTACAGTGTATCCCTGAATTTGTTTCCTAAATAATTTGCTACTTTTACTTTTCACTAGAAATATGTAATTTGTTCAGTCAAGTCAGTTTGGTATCTATGCTTTCACCTTTTTTTATTGCTTAAACCATAGTTTAATTATATTTATTTATGGTCATATGTCTTAGTTTATAAGTTTTTTTAGTATTTGATGGTTTGTTCCATTTTATTAATATATTTACCCATAAGTAGAACTGGGATTAATTCAGTTAATTGATCTAATTGATTAATATCACATAAAGTTATCAAAATTTGGAATAATTCAATTAATGTTATGAAAATAATCAACTAATCAAAATTAATGTTTCTGATTATTACTCTCTTCAATTATTCTAACTATCCAAGTGATCAAAATATTGACATCATTATTATTTTTAAGTAATTCAAGGTTGTTTGGCTTAATAAATTAGTGTCATGATTCACATAAATAATCCACCAATTGAAATTAGTGTTTCCAGTTATTCAAACTATCCAAGTCTCATATGAGAATAATAAATTTATTGAATGTAATCGATTAATGAGCTTGTCGATTGGTTGATTATCAAACTCCACTAATTGCCCAGCTATACGAGTAAGATAATAAATGTACTTAGAAAGCACTACATAACCAGGGAATCTTTATTTTTTAATTTTTAGTTGAATGCAATAAAAGATAAAATTATAGTAGCATTAAGCTATATTATCTTAAGTTGAAATAGTACATGTAAAATTGATAAATATGTACAAGTTATTTTGCTGTGTGTTTAATGTAGTTTTATAAGAGTTGGGTAAATCTTGCTGCCATAACATTCAGTATTTTTATTCATATAGGAAACAATACATGTATACATATAAGATATTTCAGAATCAAAATTAGTTCATATTAACTGAACTTTTATACACTTTTATCTCTACTCTGTACATTTCCAGCGAGTTATTCCTGAAAGTCTTCTGAAAGAACGATTGGATTTTGAAACTAGTGCAGATGCAGGAATTGTGAAAATAAAGAGGAATATTGAAACTAAGTTCATCAAAGTCAAGACCAAACTTTTGTGAGTTTTATCAGTTTTTATTCATTACATCAATTTAAAACATTTGAATGATCAATGCTTGTTACTCTTAGTTTATGAACAGAAAGCTGTTATTAGAATATTCAAAAATCTAAAAGCAAACTCATATGAATTTAGATTTTGATCAACTAACTTCCATTTTTCTATGATATTTCTTAGTTGCACAACAATGAATTCCCTTTGCAACCTTACATTATATGCAGGAACACTGTAAAACATTGTAACTGTAACATAATGTTTAAACCATTTGAATGCAGAATCAGTAGCTGAAATTTCTGAAAGTATACAAACCTATGGATATTACAGTTATGTGTAGATACACTTCTTATTGATTTGACAACTATTTTGAGCAAACTTTTGACAGTTGATACTGTGAAACTTTAACAACAATTTTAAACGTGGAAAATCACATTATTATTCAGTTAATGTACTTTTAGTTATTTTTTCAGTATCTCATGGTCAACATATAAGCTGAGTTAAAAGGTTTTTAATTCAGTTATACTTCATGTTTATAGTACAGTGCTTAGGCTGCTTTCTTGCTGTTGATTTTAGGCACAGGAATAAGTATAACAAGGGTTCAAAAAAATCAGTGATAAGTTATATTTCACAGTTTTTCAATGAGAAATGGTTAAATGTATTGTCTCAAATACTTCTGTCACTGAGATATTATTTAGAATTACATGGTGCCAGTTCTGTTGCTGATAATCTAAAATTGAAGCAGTATAAATATCATTATGGAACTAATAATTATGATTCAGAAGTCATTGCTAAAGATACAGTAGATTCTAATGGAAATCAAAATATTATTCATTATTATATATGTATTGAATCCAGACATATTTTTGTAAATTGTCAGAATAATTAAAATGTTAAATGTGAAGAAAATTGAGACAAAAATTATAAGTGATCAGGAAATGATACAACCCATTAAAAGCTAGATCCTCTGTATTTCATATGACAACTAAGCATACAGACTTGCCAAACATTGCAGCAAAGTAAATAGTGTGAATATCACTGGAATTATAGATACTGTGGTAGGAAAGAAAAAATTAGTTAGAAATTAAGAAAAATTCAAATGTTAAATTACTAAAAAGTGTTTCTTGCCAATGGGCTTACTAATTATAAATATTTGGGAAATTTTAGATTCTGAATATATTATAGGAAATATCACTGTGCAAAAAATCACTTCTTGTCTTTATAAAGGTACTTAAAAAACAGTTAAATGATATTCTTGATGATAGTTTAATTGAACCATCAAATTCACCATGGGAATCAGCAGTAGTCTTTGTAAAGTAGAAAATTAATTACTTGAGATTTTGTGTTTGATTAAACAAATTTTAACAATATGGTAGTAACATATTTTAGTTTTTACATATAAGTGATCTGTTGACAAGTGCAAAATATATCAATACCTTGAATTTGTGATCTAGTTACAATAAGAACTGACAATAAACAGAAAACAGCATTTATTACAAATGATGTCATCTACCAATTTAAAGTTATGCCTTTTGGATTAAATGCTCCAACTACTTTTCAAAGGCTTATTAATAAGATGCTAAAAAAATAAAATGTGTTTGGTGTGAGGTATTTCATAGATAATATAGTGATATTCTCACCAATTTTTGAACAAAATTTGAAAGACCTTGAACTTGTGTTTTTTTTACACCTCATAAAGCAGAATAAACTGTGAAGTTTAGTAGAAGTTAATTTTATAAATCCAAATTATGTTACCTTCGTAACACTTGAAAGTGTACACACAACATCTATCAAAGTTAAAGTTGAGGAGATTTTTCTAACTCTAAAGAATTGTAATGAACTGAGTACTTTCTTGGCCATGTGCAGCTGGTTTAAATCAATTTGTACCAAGATTTTCCACAATTTCCAAGACTTTATATCAATTAAAAAGAAATAATGGAGTTGGACTTCAGAATGTGAAGATGCTTACCTGAAACTAAAGCATGTTTCAATAACAGCTGCACTATCATAATTTTCTCAGGAAGGTGAGCATTACTATCTCCATAAAGATGCTTTAACAGTTGGACTAGACACAGTCCTCTATCAGAAAGGTGTAATTGCTGATCTAAGTAGAACACTCAGTTGAGCCAAGAGGAACTATACAACAATGGAATTAGAATGCTTGGATGTTTTCTTAGCCTTGGAAAAAAATGTGATGTACCTAGATGGCAAATAATTCATGATGATCACAACTAATGCTACTCAAATTGTAGACCATTTCAGAATTATCTGATCTCTGAAATTTCAAGATTTTACTTTCAGTAGTCCATAAAAAATGATGTGATCACTAGTTACCTCTATGCATTATCTTTACATCCTGTTCATCCACCTGACAAAGAAATTCCTGACCTGGACAGCTGTTAGTTATCCCCTAACCTTTTAGAAATTGTTATCATGAAAGACAGGCAACAGTTAGCTACAGAATAATGAAGAGACAATGACTGTAAATGAATATATGCTTGGTTATAAATAGATTTACCTGTGAATGCCATATGAAACTGCAGTAACAAAGTTGGATAAAAAAAACAAACCTGAATGCCCAGTGGAGAGTACTAAAGAAACTAAACCAATTGAGGATGTAAGTGTTGATGGAATGGAACTTTATCCCAAATCTAATGTTGGAATTATTTATTTATCTATTGGTTGTGACTTACTATGTTAGTGAGTTGAACTGAACCTCTTAAACAGATTAATACCCAAGCTGTTGTAAAGAAACTAGTGAATGAGTACTTTATTGATATGGAATTCCCATGAATATTCTCTGACAGGAGTTCACAATTTATCTGCCATTTGATAACAGGAACATATAATAGGAATTATTCATGTATTTTATTACCCCTTACCATTCCCAGTCAGATATGACAGAAAGATTAAATAGATACATTGGGAGGTATATATTTGCATGTGTACACAAAACTCTTAAAATTAGGATGCTCATTTACTGTTTTTTTTTGTACTTTTGCTCTTACAACTTCAATTCATAAGTTAACAAATTTAACAATGGCCAAAATGTGTTTGGCAAATGAAATCACATTGACTTTGGATTGTCTGAGTACATAACTAAGGCTTAAACCATCATAGAATGAATGCACTGTAGAATTACTAAATATAATACATATATAAGATATAATGTAGAAGTAGCCCAAAGATGACAGAGAAAGGCCTACAATTGTGGAAGGTATCTAGTAGTGTTTCAAATAGGTGATATAGTTATGTTAACATCTCATCTCGTATCTTCTTCTGCAGGCCAGTGTACTGCTTAATTTGCTTCTAGGTGGACAGGACCTTACAAAATTGTGAGATATATAGCACCATTAGTGTATAAACTACAAGATACTAGAAGCAGTGTTATACAGGGTTAATATATCAAGTATCAAATTTGAAGAAATGTATCATTATGAGCTGCAGTATGTCATCATCTTTTCTGGAGGGAGAACTTCACATACTACAAACTTATTGCCACTACTCAATCAAACACGAGTTAGAGAGTGTTGCAACCAAGTAGTCACATCATTACAGATGTGTTGTGAAATTCCATCCTACAAGCCCCACAGTGCCACGTCTGTGGACATACACTGCTAGAAACCGGGTATCGATACCCGTGGTGGACAGAGCACAGATAGTCCTTTGTGCTTAATTATAAACCTACAAACCCCCCTACAAAAAAAGAGAAGTAATGTATCTTTTATTGTATTATTTTTCTGATAAGCCTAACTAGAGATGGAACATTTTATTGTAATAATGATTATGGAAGAGAAATACCTGATTAACTTTTATTGCTATTCTGGCAAGATGAACCAGAGCCAAATCTTTAGGTAATCAAAACCAAAATACTGTTATTGTGATAACAAAAAATTGACCAAGATAAAGTTTATGACAGAAATGTCTTTGAAATACAGGTTTATAGTTTATTTAATAGAGTATTAAAAAGAGAGGAAGAAGTGTCTTTGTATGTAAAATGTGAGTTGCATCCTAGTCAAGCTGAGGATATCAAAGCTGATAATATGAAAGTTGAATTTATTTGGATTTCTTTTGGTGTTTATGAGGGGAGAAGGCCATTTAGTTGAAAATTGTTACACACAGACAGATGAAGCTGTTGAAATTAATAAGAAATTACAATGAGATTAATAATTCAGCTGTTATCCTTTTATCATCTCCACTTGTATATTTATGCCAGTTATGGTAATGGAAAAAACCCTTCCATGGATGATAAAGGGTTAATTAAGTCAAAATTATGGATGTTATTAATTTTATTAATTTCAGCATATGGATTGGTAGATGTTTTGGAATTAGAATACTGAAATGATAAAAGGTGTTTAGCACACAATTAAAAGCATTTATTCTAAGGCTGATGAATGGCCTTAAAATAGACACACTACATGTTTCAACATCAAATCACATCATCTTTAGGTGTGTGAAAATAAAATCTGTGCAAATTATATATATATGTGTGTGTGTGTGTGTGTGTGTGTGTATATACGCACACATCCATTCATACACACACACACACACACACACTCTCATTAGTCATGTGACTACTTAATTTACATACTGAATTTAAAGAAGGTTGTGTCAATTGAATATTTTCTTACTTTCCAACCCTTTTATCCTGATTTAAGTTATAATAATTATTCTAAACGTGTTTCATGATTTCTGTAGTTTCTCTAATAGTTTAATCATTGTAACATTTAGTTCAGCCAAAATAAAAATTTTTCCACTGAATGACATGACCAGTATGACTTGCAACTAAATTAACTGGAGGTAATGGTCAAATGTGGAAAAAATTTAAACAATTATATATATTCAAGATAAACATGTTCTTTATGAAAAAAAAGTAGATGAAAGTAAAAATAAATGGGTAAGCTTTCAAAGAGTATAAAGGATAAAATTAGAGAAAAGTAAATATATTTATGTTTAAATTGATTGCTATAACAGGAAATATAGAGGATTATAGAAGATCAAGAGAG